GCTTCATTCCTCAAAGAGTCAATGCAGGTTTTACAAATGATGATTTTGCAATGTAATATCCAAATCTTCCTTATTCTGTTAAAGTTTCTATTGAGTAGATAGAATGCTTACGATGATTGCTATGATGATTCAGCATTTGATATGCTATGATTCAGCTAGTTAAATGTGGAGGGGAAATATAAGACTGACCTTTGAGGAACTGGTTTCAAGATATTCCCTTAATTTATTCAAGCAAAATTATAAAATGAGGCAAACTAAATAAAAACAGAAGATTGGTTCTTTAGCAAAATACTATCTTCTTTTCTTGAAAGTCATAGAACTTGTAAAACAACAAAGAAGAAATGGAGAAGCAATGTGCTATCTTGGCATGCTCTGCATATGTTACATGTTTCTGCTAAGTTTGCTGTGGAACATCAGCAGCCTTTTAGGTGTCCTGACACAACTTATGAAGAAGTTAGGAAAAAAAAGATAAAACAAATCCAAAACAGAAAATAATTAATTTGAAGCTACGATAAAATGTTTAACACAAGGAGGGAAAACATCACATTTGATTTATCAAAATATTGTAGCATTTAGAGATATTTCCTGGAGTGCAAATGCCAAGAAATGTCTACACTACGAACTCCATTGTCAAATCTATCAGTTGATCACAAACTGATGCTGCTGATTCTTTGAAGCAGAGAAAAAATGATAATTTCCAATTTTGGTACAGTAGTGAAATTACTTCCTCCCAGACTTAGAAAAAAAACTTGAGGGGAAAAAAGCTAACTATGCATATTTCATAATTTACTTGGATACATATTTTCATAGCTCTGTTATATACTACAATTCAGTTAAAAATATATCTTGGAACTTTCTCTTCATAAACTATGTTACAATTGTCAAATACCTTCAGCCTCTTCAAGCAGCTGCCTCTGTCATTTTGATGCATTTTGACACCAATCTCAGTTCTTTGTATGTACTAATCACCCAATAAATATTTGTAGATATGAAGGAAAAATACATAAAAAACATGCTGAGTCAAAATAGTACAAGTTTCAGAACATCAGAATAACGTGTACTGTCTATAATCAGTAA